ATATATATATATATATATACACACATACAAACAAACATGTATACACACATACATATAATATATATTTATATATATATATATATATGGGTATACAAACACATCACACATCAGCAGGCGCGTGCTGAGGGCTAACCTGGCTTGTCTTTAGCTGCAGGCACTGTGGTTGAGCTCTTTCCGTGGGTTCGCGGCAGCCGAAAGCTTCCTCGACCCGTCGACGCCTCGAATAAAAAGTTGGAAGTGCTGCTCGCGGTCTCTGTCCGTCGAAGCAGTGCTGAGTTCGGGCGCTCCGGCTGCTCGGGGAGTGGCTCGACCTGGGTGGACGACGAGACCGCTCGCCTCCGCTCTTGTTATATTTTTCACAGGTGAGTTAAAGGCCCCGCCCACCTCGTTCCCCTCTCCGCGGGGCGTTCAATGAACCCCGTGCAAAATCCGTGGCTTCCCTGCCGAGAAGCTACGCACGAAAAAAACAAAACAAACAAAACAAACAAGAAAACCCACTTCGTTGTGACAAAATGCTGACTTGTGCTTGTTTAACGAGAGTAAAATGCAGCGAATGTTCAAATAATATGGCAGCAAAATACACCTAACCGTATGAATTGCGTACGAATTTATAATAAATTAATGTATTTGGCTTTTGACATATGATCAAAAAACGGCCAGTACGAAGTAAAAAGTCCTTGTTTTGCAGTTTTTCTCCATTAAAGAGTGATTTAAAAGGACGCACCTTCTAAATTAGACTCAAAACAAAGAAATTGTGTATAATTGTATACATACAAACTGATTCCTTTAAAAAAAAAAATCATTGAGACAGATGCAAATCATCTGTCTCAATGATTTGCAGTTTGACTGACCTATTAAAACATCCCTGAACATAAAACTGTATTTTAAAAGATTGTATCCAACTACACACGTTTTTGTGTTTGTCACCTATGAAGGAGAGTAGACCTTCTGTGCTACTTGTAACAGGAGCAATGGGTGTGGCACAGCTGATAAAACAGGGCTGGAAATATGACACAGACCTCAAATGTGTCCACGTTGACAGCTATTAAATGTAAAAACCACGTTCAAGGGGAAGCCCATATTGTTTCTTGCTTTTCCAACGCACGAAAGGTATTTAGACATGATCTTTAAAACCAACACACACACATCCCAAACAAAGCTGTGGGCCTACTTGCAATATGTGTGCCACCCACCAATGAGCTCTTGGTTTAATTCCCTTCCTTATATGGTGAAGAGGAGCCGAGGTACTCGGAAATTCAAGAAGATTTCCTGAAGGAGAAGAGGTCTGAGAGCAGAGACGTGGAGGAAGGTGGGGTCTATTGTTTCTTTGCAGTGGTGTTGAGTTTCCTTGCGGGACCCGTCATTAAACCGGGCCCGGCTCCTCTTGCCTCTTCACATATGTCCCACATCAAAGACCAGCAGGTAGAAATGAAAGGGCAGCGTGTCTAAGCATGCGTTTCTTTTGCTCATGAAGGTATTTTACTTGTTTCAACAAAAGGCACTACAAATAGTAAGTACTCAGTTGATGAGATTAGCCACACCTCAGCTGCTGACACAACACTGTGATTTCTGATCAGTAAAAGCCTAAACATATACTTAATTAACATCCATTCATTTGCAATACAGTTTATTCCTGGTATGGCTACAGGGAAGATCTCTTATTAACCTTAGGCGCATGATTTTGGATGGTGGGAGAAAGCCTGACTAGCCGGAAAGAATCTATACACAGGGAGAACCTATAAAGACGACAGAGAAAGGCCCCCGTCCCCCTAGCAATTCAAACCAGGAAACCCTCTTGCTGTCAGGCGATGGTGCAGCTTCAACTTGATTAAAACCCACAAAAAAAAAGTTTCTTTCTCCAGTCAAAATGCATTTTGTTTAACTTTAACTTTCTGTACTTGTCACAAAATAGAAATGTTGACCCATGACTGGTTCCAGACTATAGGACAGTGTGTTTAGTTTAAGTCCAGAACTAGTGGTTTCTTCATAGTGACAAAGTTCTGCTGGTGTATTTTACCACCAAATGACACAGTCTGTTGTTTCGACACCTCACAAATGCAGCTTCCTGAAATAGTTTTGCACATATCTCATAGAAAACACCCAGCGAAAGGGGATGTTGCACATCAACTGTACGATGAGTTTGTTTGGTCAGCTGTTGCATGAGCCTTTAAGAAGAAGTAAAAGATAGAATGCCATATCATACAGGAAACAGAGGTACATTTCATAGACTGAAAAACTCCAAAGCCTCTGCAGTAAGAGAAGGGTGACTGTGATTAACAAAAAATATTTTTCCTTGATGGTTGAATTAAAAGAATATTTTATAAGATTTTTATAAGATTCTGATGAGCTAAATTCATTCACTTTTTTTATTGTCTGGTGCAAAAATGGTCCTTTAACTAACCCAAAAACGCACAAAGTCATGTGTTTAAAATCCCTCATGTACTCCAGGAGACTATTACAGGACCTTAGATCAAATGAAAATAGTTCCCCTCGCTGACAACAAAGGTAGAATTTTACCAGATGAAATAGGAACTATAACGACATTTCCACTTGAGGCATCTTCCGTTTTAACCTTAGAAACCAGAGTATAAAAAGTTCAGAGGAATATTTTTAGAGCTCAACTTCAGCCGAACAAGTACATCCATTCTTGTCGATAATTAACATGCATATGAGTTTATTAGTCATGAGCTCAATGTGTAATGATAAAACACAACCACGTTGTGGGGTTGGCAGAACTAAACATTTTGGACTGATCAGTTATTTCCCACAATTTATTCCTTTGTTTCTGCTCGCATAATCTCAGGTTGATAATCCATAATAGCTTTAGATTTGAGTTGCACCTTAAGAATGGTTGCTTCTGTTTGAAAACATCAAAAGTTGTGTTGAAGACAACTACCTCACAGTAAAATGGTTCACGGTTTGAATCCCCGGAGGAAGCAGGGGCCTTTCTGTGTTAAATTAGTATGTTCTTCCTGTGTCTGCTTGGATTCCCTCCTGGTTCTCTGGCTTTCTCTAATCGTCCAATCCATTCAGTCTCTCTGCATGTCATGTTTAAATACCCTCAATAGACAATTTGTTGGAAAAACCACAACAATATGAGTTCGCTCTGAAATCATGGGACAGATTTAAAAGCTGTCAATATGGACATTTTTAAGTTAAGGCCGTATTCCAAACCTCAGTTTCATCACCTATGTCACCTGACAGTTACAAGAATTTATGGAGTTTAAATGTAAATGTAAGGGAACATCATTTTTAATTTCCATTATGGAGGGTTAAGTGTGACAAAATTAAACAAATATATAAAAAAATATTTACTTGTAAATCTCTAGTTAACTAATTTAATGCGTCATAAAATTTGTAAAAACACCCTCAAATAATTACATATCCCCTAAAAATAATTTAATATATCATTAATATATTAATATTAATACATTAATTACATCAATAAATAATTAAATACATCAGTGAAATATTCTATCAGGTCATTGTGTTAAATGTTGACGCCACCCAGTGGTCAGGGAGGTGGAATATCACTCAAACAAATAACTTTGCATCAAAAAAAGAAAATAATACTCCACATTCTTGGTTGTTTTACAGCAGTCTCTTCAACATCCATGTCCATCCAAGCCAATTACGATCCAAACAATAGTATTTAAATTAATTTGTCAAAAAGGTAGATTCAATTATTTCATGGGATGTTTAATTAAATTTAATTGAATACTTCATAATACCACTGTGTATTTAATTATTTATCTATGTGTTCAGTGATTTAATAATGCATTTACTTATTAAGTGGTACATTTATGTTAATCTATGTTTTATTATACATTCAGTTCATTAACAGGAGATTTACAGGTATGTATTTCATGATATATTAAGTTTACTGTATTTAATTTTGTGACCCTTAACCCTCCAAAGATTGGATCGATAAACTAGTTGTAAAAATAATTTCAGGACAGTAAATTGCTTTTTAAAAAGTTGAGAAGCTTTTACAACATTTGTTGTTTCTCGCCATACTTACAAGTTCTTCTGGTACTGTTGGATAAAAGTCAACAAGCATTTCCAGAATCTCCAGACCACATGCCAAAGTATCCCCCACAATGCATACGCTGTTTCCACTGGTGCGTGAATGGAGTTTGTTGACGAGAAACATGCAGTGCACAGTTTGTGATAATGTAGATAATGTTCACACTATAAAGTGTCTGTGTGCGAATAGTTAAAGTGAATGTGGCCTGTGGTGGGATGGTCAAGTGGGCTGGATTGGTGTTAAAAATTTTTTTTTGTTAACTCAATTTCTTCCCTTCCATTGTAGAATCATTCACATAATTATTTCAGATGTCGTATATGTTAGACGCTTTTCTCCACAGCAACTTACGATGCAGGTACAGCATGACAGTTAGCGTCAACCTAAAAGAAAGTATAGAAAGAGTGGTAGAGGTGGGAAGATGTACAGGGTAAGAGTTAGGGGAGGAGATGGTCTCCTGAGAGCTTGAACATAGATAAGTGCAGCCCCTGTTGTTGTAGCACTAGATAGGTCGTTCCACCATCCTGGAAGAGTCTGGATTGTCTTGAACGTGATGTTGGCACTGCTAGGACACAATCCACTGATGACCGGAGTGACCAAGATGTTGCATAAGCCTTTGCAAGAATATTCAAATAGTAAGAGTAAAGTCTGGGAGACCAATCTGGAGAGCGTTGCAGTAGTCAAGGCGAGAGACAACCATATTCTTTGATGGAGCAAGAGATGGTGATTTGGTTTGGATTTGAGTACCGTTGTGTACGGTTGGCTTGGCTGGCAATGCGAGCAGTTCAGTTTTGGAGAGATTTAGGTGGAGGTGATGGGCTGTCATCCATTTTGTTTAAATGCAGGGCCCTCTGACGTCTGGAAGTTTACAGGCATGCTTAATTTGAAATGATTTTCAGATATGTCCCTTGTGCATATCAATCTAATATTATGTACTGAAGATGATGACAAATAAGCTGATATTAATCAGTCTTTAAATATTCTATTAAAATGTCCAATGAAGGTACTGTCCCATTACCAAATAACCTAATGAATTCTTCCACCTCGTTAGTACCATTTTTAAGGCTTTTACTGTACCTTTCCAACCCTTCAGATATTTGTCATTGTCATTATATATAAAATGACCTGATATTTAACACTTTCTTTCAAAATGTTCATTCAACATATCATATTTATGGTACACAAACAACAACACAAGACTTTGGTTTTATGAGTTTTTATTTATTTATCTGATTTTTAAGTGTTTTATTTTTTTTTCCTCAAAAAAAAAAAAAAAATCCTGAGGTATTCACATAATGGCAATTATTCTTTTTGAAATGATACCGGGGAGGGGGACTAAAACACAGCCAGAAAGAAAAGGGAAAAAATTATATTTTTAAAAAACAGAAATGGGCATTAAAGCCATGTCAATTGATAGTACAGCCAAGACAACATATCCACGGTGTGCCGTACATACAAAGAGCCAATAAACAGCGACAAAGTCAGTCCTCCTCACAACTTAACCCTTTACACCAGCATCATGCAAGTGGGACTGACAACTGCAATAAAAACTTTTTTTTTAAAGCCTTAATGATGTTTAATGTAGGCCATCTTATCAGGGTTTGCAGGTGGCAACAAGCCAACCACTCCACCATTTCTGTCAATAACAAAGCAATTATCATCAGCTGAAACACGTAAAAAAAAAAAAACTGGATAACATTCAATACTCACTGGTTAAAAACCACCAAATTCTCAAAAAAAAAAAAAAACTTTTAATTTCATTAGCGAAGCTCTAGAGTTAAATACACCATGCGGTGGCTTTAAAACATAACCAGTTTGATTGTGGGGCCTTCTAAGAGGTTAAAGACAGTTAACTTAATGATGGCATCTGACATTAAAGTTTTTATTTTTAACTGTTAACGTAACAAAAACTGGCTGTATGTTAGTGTGGTGACTGAATGAAAATTATCTGCTTTTCTGTACAGAAAGGAAAAACGCCAATGAGAAGCTATTCTTATTTTGCCCTCCAGTAGAAAAAGAAAAAAAGCTATATGAAAAAAATACAAATAACCAATAAATAAATATCAGTGAGAAAAATACACTGTTGAATCATTTTCTTACTCTGTGTCACAGATTTATATGATTGATAAAATAACTGCTGTGACGTTAAGAAAATAAGAAAAAACATCCAATATTCTCCTCTGCACAATAACCTGCAACACGCTCACACACACAAAAAAAAAAAAAAAAAAAAAAAAAAAAAAAAAAA